TGGGCCTGGGAGGTACCCTCACCACCCGACTCTACCCTCCAAACCCAGCTGCCTTGATGGAAGATCCTCCCGGTTTGAGGATCCCCGCGCATGAGGATCTCGAGGTTAGCTTCCAAGTCTGGGGAGGAGGCCGGTGCAGCATACTCTTGGTCGAGTAGATGGTCATTCCATTTTAGACCGGCCAGAGGAGTGAAGAAGGGAGGAAACTCGATGAAAACAAATTTTTCCTTCCATCCCCGGTTACTCTGGGGGACTTCGGAAATGAACTTCCTACCGGTGCAGGCTTTGAAGAATACAAAACCTTCGCAGCCAGCTCCGCCCGGTAGGACTTCGAAGCAAAAAAGGAAAAGACGCAAAGAAGGGAAGATTTTCAGATGGGTACAGATATTTACGAAGGAGTGGAGGTACCGGTGGGCGTTAGGAGTTATTTGGCCGGGCAAAATCCTAAACGCATGGCAAACCTCAGTAAGGAGGGGGCGAAGGGAAAAAACTATGCCCGCGTCCAGGGAAATGGTATGAAACCCTATCCTATCCTCCCGGTGGGGTTCAACGATGTTGGGCCAGTTAAGTTCGTAGAGGAGGGTATACCCATCCGGGAGCCTCCTACGGATTTTATTTAAAGCAATTTTGGATACACGGGAGGGGATGTCAAGGACGTAGAAGGTGGGAAGCGGAAAGTAACCGGCAGCATGAAGCCGCTCCTCCCACGCATCCCGGGTTTCGTGTTCAGGGTCATAGGGGCCCAGTTCGTCATCGACCGGGTCATCCCTCCCCACGAAAGTTTCACCGGGCACCTGATTTACAGGATGCGGGTCGGGAATGGAGGAGTTGGGAACCTGACCGGGCGTAGATTCAGGAGAAGAAGACCCGGTCGAGGAAGATGAGTTGGAATCCTCAGAGGAGCAGTCCTCTGAGGACGAGATCCTATCGCTAGGCGAAGACATGGCCGGGAAAGAAAAAAGAGAAGGAACGGGGAACTTACTTGACTCGGAGGGCTGGATAGCGAAAGATAAGGGACTTGACCGGTGAAAGCTCTAGAAGACGAAGTGCGAAAAGTGAGAAGTGAAAGGGGTTGGAGGCCTTTATATAGGAGAGGGGAGGCCAGAAGTAGGCGACGTGGCGCCTTGAGATTGCGCCACAACGGGCGGCGCAATGATGGTACTTGGCAGACGAAACGACGTGTGGGTAGCCGACCGTTGCAACGGCTGGTGTCCGACACGTGGCGAGTTCTTTCAAATTTGAAATTCAAATTCGTTGAATTTTTCAAGCGGGAAGAGCCAGAAATTTAAATTTAAGAGTCCTGT